AATGTATAATATATAACTATATATAAACATCTCATTATTAAACTTAAAAATCTGACATGATGAGCCATGATCAAAATAATTGTAAAAAGAACCAATGAACTATGTCATTTGGTAGAAATATTGTTTTGTTTTATTTTATTTTATTTTATTTTATAAATATATAATAATTAAGCTGTAAAATATGTAATAAATGTAATATAATATTCATAAATTATCATAACCGTAGTATATTGACTATGTAATCAAATTACATACAAAATTAATATAAATATAAAATAGTAATTTTATATTATTTATAATAATTAAAATAATTTTATATTGTATAAAATAATAAATTAGAATTAACTTAATATTTATTTTTTAAACAACTTAAACTTATTTATTTTTAATAACTTAATTAAAAATAAAGAATATAAAGTATAAAGAAATTAAATTAATAATTTTCATAATTATTAACAATAGATTCAACTGTTTATTAAGCATTGGTGTCTTTTATTATAGTACTGTTGCTGCCATTTTATAAAAGGAGTAAGATATTTTACCATAAGAAAGAGGAATTTATCAATAAGAACATATTTTACTGTGGTAAAAGCACAGCCTTACACCATATTTCTTTAATGCATCTGGGAGCCAGCTATAATCCATCGACAATGTCCAGTCTAGAAGTCCAGCAGGGGTCTATTACTGTGTGTTTATGTCTTAAGGCATGATTTTTGCTGTGTCTGATATTCAGCCTGAGCTGATCTTGCAAAGCTGGGTAACGCATTGCATAATGGGTTTTGGAAGAGAATCTCTATAAAAACAGGAAAGTGTGCTCTGATTAGCGGTAGTGACCCAGCGGCAATTTGTTCTCTTCCCCCACATATCAGTGCTTCACATGCTCTTTCTCACACCTCACAACCCCCTTATATGCATACACACTGTACACATGCTCCACATAATCAGGACTGTTTATAGCAGAAAGACAAGAGAGAAGAATGTCCAAAAAAAAGTGTGATGGATGCTTGGTTACTGCTAATTTTAAACAAAAAAAAAAAATCATATTATATACAAGCAACAATACAACAATGTATTATATAAAAAAACAATATATTGCAGGTGAGCCTGTAGATTTAAATCAGAACTGATTATTTAAGTTGAATATTCTTCATGCATTCCATTTTCAAGCAGTTAGCTTTAGATAATCCCAATTTACATAAAAAGTCAAATAAACTTTAATAATAAACAAAAAATTCAGTAACTTTTTTCAGGAAATTTGAGGCTGACTGTTATTCTCCTGCACTTTGTGCTAAGTATGATTTGTCATGTCATACTTTTTACTGATTCTACCTTAGGTTATTATCAACTGTGTGTGTGTGTGTCTGTGTGTGTGTGTGTGTGTGTGTGTGTGCCTGACATTATTCCCTACATTATGGGGACCAAATGCCCCCACAAAGATAGTAATGCCAGTAATTTTTGACCCTATGTGGACAACAAACAAGATTATAAATCATACTTTTTTTTTTTTTCTTTTTTTTTTTTTTAAATATAAAATAACAGAAAGTTTTGTATGAGAGGTTTAGGGGTTGGGTAACGGGATAGAAAACACAGTTTGTACAGTATAAAAATCATTATGTCTATGAAGCATGGAAACCCAATGTGTGTGTGTGTGTGTGTGTGTGTGTGTAAAGTGGGATTATTTAAAGCGAACTGCGTGTAACACTTAATTACATATAATTAATTTACTATACATACATCTACAGTTGGTATGCAAAGAAGATTAAATGAATTACAGTGATAATATGTTGACTAGAAAGCAGCTGTCTCTTAAAAAAATGAACATTAAAATCATCAAAATTCTTATGCACATTTACCACTTGCTTTATATGTCACAGTATCTATTTGTTTTGTTGCTTCAGTCTTATTATTCATTATGCTCAGAGCTGACTGTAATGTGATTAACGTAAAGAGTGCTATTCAAAAAGTCACAAGCTAAGGTGGCTTTGCATGATTTTACATGCACAGAATCTGACTAAAGTGGAGCAGAAAATGGAAATCTCTGTGGGAATTTAATCATTCATTCATTTATTTACTTACTTACTTGCGTACCTATTTATGTGGATAACTGATTTTTAGCATTCCATAGTGGCATAGTGGTGTGTTAAATAAGTTTATACTTTTTCTCAGGTTGTTTTTCTCTGGCAATTCTCTGCTCATTTTCTTTTTTTTTTCAGATGTGTATTTTCTGCAAGCAGCAGATAAGTGCATATTTGAACTATGTTGCATTAGGTCAGGAAACTAGTTTTGGCAATGCATACATGCTCAGTATGTCTTGGGGAAAATAATGTAGCTATTTGTAAACAGTGTAATCCAGCCCAAGCGGCAATATGTCAAGGTTAATAGGTGAAGCTCCTATGATTAGCTTGACTTCAAGTGAAACGCTTACACAAGTCATTATGGGGTGCTCAAGAATAATTAACCTATTTTGACCCTTGCCATGGCAGAGCTTACAGACTATTATGTCTATTTAATGCAATTATGTACAAAAAGTTTCTTATATGGGTATTTATATTAAGCCTTACAATACTAACTTTATCATAGGAAATCATTACTGCTAACCCATTTATGACATTCAGCTCAATATAAAATATGTACTATACTTCAAAATGTACAAACAATCAATAATCACTAAAGGGGTCATATGATGCTGCTAAAAAGAACATTATTTTGTGTATTTGGTGTAATGAAATGTGTTTAAGCGGTTTAAGGTTCAAAAAACACATTATTTTCCACATACTGTACATTATTGTTTCTCCTCTATGCCCCGCCTTTCTGAAACGCGTCGATTTTTACAAAGCTCATCGGTCTGAAA